TACGCTGATTCTGAATATCGTATTTATTTTCGTTTAGTATCGTGTTATGGCTGTCAAAACTGCAAAAAAACGTGATTTTCTATTGAAAAATGCTCGAAATCATCGAAAATCAAAAGTTTATGTTTACATTTTAACAATTTCAAGTTTGGCTGAAATTCAGAATGTAGGGTTTGATAGAGCAAAGTCTGCTCTACAAAACCCACTATGCCACTATGCCGAGCAATATAGCCATTTTTCGTTTCTAAGAACTAAGTATGAGCACTATCATTTGTGTCGCGGATTTCAGTATCACTGAGGAAAAAAATTTATTAGAAGAAGAAAAACGAACAAATGATATATGGGAAAATGCGCGAGATCTTGGGGAACAAGAATATACAGTCATAATTAGTTTTCGTCCAAATAATGATAAAAAAGTTAAGACCACAATATTTGGTAATTTTTCCGAGTTTTACACTGTTTTCGAGTTTTTTCTTTTTTGCTGCTCTACTTGTGACTTCTATATCTTTCTGAAGGAACGTCTGTTTAAGCTAATTTGTTTACCATAACAACAAGTCATTATGTTCTAGAAGATAAGGACATATTCGGTCAATTTCATGAACCCTTGTGTTTTCGTGGGAGAAACTCCATGGAATAGGCCATGTGTAATTTTTTGTTGCTCTTTCAGCTTTCCTGAGATACATTGAAAAATATATCCTAACTAGCATTATCACTGAGTTGATTTTATACTTTTTATCAAAATATCTCGAGAAAGATCAAATGAAAACAACAATATATTTCAGATTCGTGATCAGAAACACCAGTTCTGTTTTTTATATAATTTCTATCTAATCATTTTAGGTCATGAAGAAAATGTTCATTTTCTCATCCAGTGTACCATCCTATAGATTCTTATTGTCGTGAATATGCTCTCAAACATAGCATACATATGTTGTATTTAATACTTTTCGTGAGGTTTTCTCAGCTATTAATCGCTTTTCTTCCCTATCAATGTGACTATCCATTACAGATCTTCTTTAGCAATAGTCCATCGGATGTTTGTGTTTCATAATGTGAAATATTTTCATTACTTATTGCTTCGGCTCTTGCTTTCAGTTTTAGTATGACTTGTAAACGATTCGAAGTGCTTTCGACTATCTTCAGTCGTTTTTATTTGTCATATTGGCTGAAGAGAAATTGTAATAGGTAGCAGCTTCTAGCTATCAACACGAGTATTGAGCACGAATGCGAAAACATTTGAACAACTTCTTTAGTTTTCCATACAGGGGAGACGAAAAAAAATAAACGTTTAGAACAGTCAGTCTTAATCACCTGCAAACGCTTTCTCTCGTTTGTCAACACGTTCAGAACGTACTAATATCGCATATTTTAACGTACACAAACACGATATTTTGAGCACTTGAGTGAGAAACCCTGTCGATAGTCATTAACATACGTGTTTCCTGCGAGAAAACACGTTGCCAAGCTTTCAAAACGCACATTTTAACACATATAAACGTGCTTTCTTGATTTTTATCTAACTGAATTGCTTCATATATTTTTACACCACTATAAAGTTTTTTATTGCATATTATTATCCTTTAGTTTGTTATGTATTTTTATTTCAGTAAATACGGATATGAAAACACCTGATCGGCTCTTCTCCCTCAATCTAAAATCAGCCTATGAGACTCTTAATTTAAAAGAAATATTCCCTTTATTTTTCAACACTTTATCTGTTGTCGTTTTCACATTATCAAATCCTATGGTTATATTCTGGTAGCCAGCGTTTTTACTCTGCCAACTTTATTTTCAAGTAATACATACGATGGCTCACCTTACTATTTCCTCCCTTCAGTATTCTGATCGTACGACTATATTTTCTACTAAGTAGTATTTTTTGTCATCAACTAACTCGTCTTCTTCTTTTCTAAAGTAGGTATCTTTAACTTTCTCAGATTTCACGTACATCTTCTTCTGTACTCAGGTTCCGACTTGATACAATACTACTCCCAAGGTCTGAGTATTTGAAATAATATTTTGGATGCAAAGTTTACTTGACTTCCAAAAAAATGCGTTGTCATTCTTGCAAAATTCGTGTTCAGAATCTTATTTTGAGTACTCCTACTTTCGGTAGGATCATATCAATTTGAAACCTGAGTATGAAAGAAGAAGGGCTTGACATTTCAGAAAGCTAAGGACGACTCCTTATAAGTGCGAAAAAAAAACCATTTATTGAGAGAAAATATTGTTGACTAAAAAATATAATCGTACAAACGGAATACGGAAGAGAGAAAGTAATAAGGTGAAATAACGTATGCATTACATTAAAAAATGAGGTAGCATGAATGTTGGAATGAATACACAGAAGTCTGATAAAGAAACTATAATTCCACTATGCGTTTACTTTGTTTAACATTGATGTGTTAGAAACGCTACCAATCTTTCCGAATATACGCGCTGAAACATAAGAGAATCACGATGGTTACTTCACCATGCTGATCGGCATGATGAGAAACGTCCATTTAGCGTACATTTTATTCGCTCAGAGCACCTTTTAGGCACGCAGTTTCGGAGAGATGGGAGCGTTTTCATGAATCTCATTATACGCGATTAGACGCACTTTTGACCGTTTCTTGTCTTCCTGTATGATGGTTGTTTATGATGGTAATTAGTGTACTTTGATTGATATATCCGGAATATGATGTTTTACATTTCCATCACGTAATATTTATTTGGTTATAGATACTCGACAATGCAAACAATACAATTGTATACTATACTTCAACAATTTTTCTTGTTGTTGATAATTGAGAATTCTAATTGCATTTCTAGTCCTATTTCACGATTTAAGACATATCAGCATTCAACTGAACTTCAACCAGATGTTGCCAATCTTTGGTGGACAGTGGATGAAACTGAAGCAGAGATCATGTTCGAATTACACATTAAAACTACTGGATGGATTGCTCTAGGCATTAGTCCCGGTGAGTACTAAATTTTAATTCATGTTTATTCATCAAGTTCTATTATATCTAGCTGGTGGTATGAAGGGTGCTGATATCGGCGTCGGATGGATTGACAATCGAGGCCAAATTCATTTTCAAGTACGTAATGTAGTGTCTGCTATTTTGACGCAATTATTGTTAAGTAGGATCAATATGCATTCGGCTTTACAAAACCTGTGACTGACAATACAACAACGGATTGGTTTCCTCTTCAAGGTCGCGAGGAAAATGGTTGGACAGCGATTCAATTCAAACGATTACTCGACACATGTGACTCTATGGATGTTCCAATTAAAGTAAGAATTGAACAATTTCTTATATTGCTGAACAAATGCATAAAAACATTGATGTCAAATCTAGTCCGGATCAAATATTGTCATATTTGCCTATGGTCTTATCGATCCCGATATGTTTGAAACATATGGTGACATATCCTATCATGAGAATCGACGAAATTCACGCATGATTCCACTTCGAACCTATGCGAATCCGCCGTCAGATGACAAATTTGTCGAATTTGATTATGTGGAATTTCGTTTAGATAATGTTTGTTAATGAATTATATTTATATTCTAATCTTCTCTTATAGTATAGAGTACCATCGACTGATACGACCTATCATTGCAAAATATTCAAGGCTCCAAGCCATTTTCTAACAAAACGACACGCCATTGCAGTACGAATACAAGAGTAAGTTATTGTAAATTTTATCTTTTTTTACAGCGTAAAGTACTGATCGATAAAACTAATCACGATCTTGTTCATCATATGCTTATCTTCGAATGTGATCCGTCAATTGTGTTCGACGATAATAATCTACCGGATGATTTATGCGACAATCTTTTACAACAGCTTCAACCATGTTTCGTAAATAGTGCTACCGGATGGGCTGTCGGTGGTAATGATGTGAGACAAATGATCAAAAGAACATTGTACACATGTGAATAAATTTGATTAGATTGTGGAATTTCCTGATGAGATCGGGTATCCCATCGGTGGCGACTTTGTTATAAAGTATTATTTGATTCAAATTCATTACGACAATCCACGTTTGACTTCGAGTAAGAGTTTTTATTTTGAATGGCGATCTTTTCACTTTTCTCGTATAGATCGTCGTGATAGTTCAGGTATTCGATATTATATTGATAAGAAACTTCGACGATACGATCTTGGCTATCTTACGTTCGGTACTGGTTTCAGTATTGACAGTATTGTCATTCCGCCGAAAATGAACAAGTTTGTTGTCGATTCTTATTGTCCATCTCGGGCTACTCGTGTAGGATAATCATCAGAGTCACATCAAGACGTTATTATATCATTATTGAATTTTTCTAGAATTTTCCTGAATCCGGCATTACAGTTATCAGTGCCTTTCCACATACTCATTTGCAAGGTAGTCTCAAGTTTTTGTAAAAAAAATTGAAATGAATGTTGAAGTACCTAGCGAGAATGTTGGGCTCACTCCCGTCCTCTCCCACAGACCGTAGCAGATATGTAACAAGAAAGTTTCCGAGACGGTCAACATCCTGAGCAGGCCCACCATGAGAAGAGCAAAAATTTTGCTGCACACAAGGCTTCTAACGATATCCACCTCTATCAGTTTTCTTTAGTGATGTGGAGCTGGGTGACCGAGGTCTCCCTTTCGTACATCTCTGTCTATTGACTCTCTCATAGACCGTGACGGATATGTCATAATCAACCAGACACATAGTAACAGAAAGTTGGTTCTAGAATATTCTGGAATCGTCGAAGAGATTGGGATTCTAATAATCGAAACTGCCCAAGGATTAAATGATGCGATAGACAGCAACGCAAGTGATCAACAGGATATCAGTATGCTTGCTAAGAGACCACAAAAAATACTGAAAAAGGTGCGGATGTGAGGTGTGAGTGGATGTGGAATGGAGGTATGGCTGTGGCTGAATTGAAGACTTTACCGCATACCCCACCCAGATCAAAACAAATGATAACCGACAATAACCGAACTGAAGAAAATGACTGACAGTAGCAACGTAACGACTGAGGAAGAGAGAAGAGTGCCTAAAATATGACAGAATGTAGAAATAATCCAAATAGAATAGACAGAGAATATCATTAAGTTCGAACTTTTCTGAAACTCTAGAGACTTTTGCACTCATGAAAATCTGTTCTATGATTCAGATGGTGATACCAGCGGCATACCTCTGCCCTTTCCAAAAAAAGCTGGTCCGATTTCACATAAAAGACACCATTTTCAGACACTCAGAAGCTTTTACAGGGAGGAGATGCTGATCCATTTACAGAGGGGCTCAGCTTCCTTGGTTCACACCCAGTGAATCCTGCTAGAATTGCGTTGAACGTTTTTCACACAATTTCAATTCACTTTAATTTTGATAGGCCAAAATATTTGGACCAAATTAATTCGTAACAATACTGCTGTTCAATATTTGTTCCATGGAGAATCGTACGATTTCAATTATCAGTTTGAACATCGTCTGTCAAACCCTATCAAACTCTATCGAGTATAAGAAAAATGACGAAATTGCTCGATTCAATCATCGTGTGTTTCTTTTCTCTCAAGGGCGACTCGTTTGCAACTCGATGCGTGTACAATACAATGAACAAGAATGAAATCACATTAGTAAATCATTTAAAAAAGAGCTTGTGTTAGATCAAATTTGTGTGATCATTTAGCATGGCGAGCGAACAAAAGATGAAATGTGTCTTCACACATTTACCTACTATCCACGCATGACTGATATGTATCAATGTTTGTCAATGATTCACCCATCAGCATGGGAAACGATGATGAATACGTCTTCGTAAGTTGGAAGAAAAGCAAAATAAATTATTTATGAATTAATTTTCATTTAGAATAAATATTAATTACGAATATCTCAAGCAATTATTACTTAGTATAAAACGGACAGCGGAATTAGCTGAACAATGGCAAGAATTTTATAATAATGCTACACGTCTTGTTGTATTCGGTCGTGCAGAACATTTAGATTCTGATATTCTAGAGAATTTACCTAAGTTTGAAAATTTAAAACCTGTTGAATGTAGAAAGGAACCTATTGTGAACTCTGCTACTTCAAATACAATCGATTTTAGTCTTGCGTTTATTTCATATTTATTGCAAAAAATATTATCGTATAACAAATAAAAATTTTGCAGATCGCGTGGATCGGTTTCCACACTGCTTCATTCAGAAAATTTTGCATATCGTATCGCGCCAGTATCGGAGAGGTCTTGCGGTATATCGTCTTGTCATATACCGTTGTACCGTCAACATGGTTGTCATTTCTTCAATTTTTCAGGTTTTTTCCTCTCGTCCGCTTTTCGACTTTTGTAATAAAAAAGTTAAGTTGCTCTTTAACTATAAAAATGAATTGAGTACAATCGTCACTCTATCTATTTAACTCTTGGCGTTCCTATTTTGCCAGTAATTACTGACGAGGGAAGGTCCCCAACTGATCAATGGCTTTTACGTTGAGACTATGCGCATTATGTAGGTGCAAAAGAGTTATGAATACTCTGAAAAAAGTTCGGGCTGCTAGCTTATTGCTACGGAGATACTGCACTTTTACGATATGTTTTTAAATGAAAGCTGTGGTCCCCCTCAGGAACACCAGAAAAAATGATTTTCAAATTTCGACTTGAAACTTTTCATATAAACAGACCTTACCGAGAATAGTATTTTGCAAAAGTTTCAGATCTTTTTGCTGTTGTTATCGGTAGATACAACTATGATAATGTCATTCAGAAAACCAAAAGATTTGATGTTGTCATTTCAGGATAAGAACAAATAGAAAGACCTGAAAGTTTCACAAAATACTATTCTCGGTAAGGTCTGTTTATATGTAAAGTTTCAAGTCGAAATTTGAAAATCATTTTCTCTGGTGTTCCTGAGGGGGACCACAGCTTTCATTTAAAAACATATCGTAAAAGTGCAGTATCTCCGTAGCAATAAGCTAGCAGCTCGAACTTTTTTCAGAGTATTCATAACTCTTTTGCATCTTCATAATACGCATAGTCTCAAAACAAAAGCTATTGATCAGTTGGGGACCTTCCCTCGTGAGTTGTTTTTTATAGTAAAGTCCTATGTTATCGGCAATTTTGTCCTGAATATATTCCACTTTTCGAAAAGTTTGGTGTTGTTGCAGGCAGTAACCGTAAAAATCCGATCCATAGATTGCTTCTTCTAGTTTTTATATGAAAAACTAACACACAAAAGGTGAACTTGCCTAAATAAGAATGTGAGTCTTCCAAAATTGTCACCTTTTCCCCTTTTTCATGCAGTTAAAGGTCCGTTTTCAAGAGAAATTTTCTTATCAAAAGCAACTCGTTTTCCAGCGATAGGCAGGCCGTGATCACTCAGTAGTCATAGACTATCATTATTACGATTGACTGCCATATGAACTGAATGAAAATACACAAACTCAGACATGTTCTAATGGAAAAGAAATTCTGTACTCACATATTATTGATGAAGCTATAACGCTAATCTATACTTGCTATCCATTATATCCAGGTACGTCTTGATGTACTCAAGATTAAAGAGGGCAACCATGGAGATCTCTATGCGAACTATAGAACGCAAGAAAAGAATTTGCAATTCAGCTTGAGAAAAATGAGAATTTTTGCATATTTGGGACGGTGGGAGAGATTTTCATCTCTTCCAGCCACTGCCAGGACATCCCTCGTTATCCTATGTTACTATTTGAAACATTGGAAACAAAGAGCTGTCATAAGCAGAAGAAAGAAGTTGCTTTAACTTTAATACATGAGGGTGGATGTCGGCACGAGTGTATGGATGCGATGTGTGGCGTCTGGGATTAAATGAAACACCCACCCATCCATATCCACTTTTACATCCGCGTCAAAACAAGTATCCTGCATAGTAATAAAAAGCATTGTTTGAACCGTTGAAGAATATCAAATGATCACTTACAAATGGAACTACTTGGTATTGTTTCAGTAACAATCAAATCGTGCAGACATGTGAATAAACTTATAAAGGCAGTTTTAACAGCCGTATTAACAAAGGTTTGCTCGTACAGGGCGTAAAGTAAAAGGCGAGTGAAAAAAACTGATCAGCGTAAAAGATGAAACAGGATGTCCTGATTCCACACAAAATTTCCAATCTAACAATTCTTTAATTTGGTATCTCTTACACCTCTTGGTAAACCTCATTGATTTGTTCAGTTTTTTATGCTCCCTATTCTGTACCACATAGAGCAAACACAATAAAATGAACGCGCTTTCCTTATTATAATTACAATTAACTATTTTTCAATCAATCCATATGAAGGTTTTGTTGAAAAATATCGAATTCGTCATCAAACTAAACGACAATACTTATAGGATATCTTCAACATACTCGAATATTCCTTACACCCGCAAGTAAAGAAAACTAATCAGATTGGCCCATAAGCTAAAGACATCTTTGTATGAGCACCTAACCAAGTAAAAATGATACAGTATTATTTTTATGCTGGAACACCTTCATCGAGTATTCTCATTCAATAACAAGTGAAACATAATAGCTTCAAGATAAGAAATATTACACATATTTTTCTTGCATTCTCTTTACAACATGTCGACTTCATTTCATCATATATATTTCCCATACTCCATAAAAAAAAAGCATCACGTACAAATTCATTCTAAATATTTTCAAGCGTACATCTTTTCACTATTCTTCATCACTACTACATTCACGAGAAGAATTTCTCGCATCTTTCATGTTGTTGACGATGGAAATAATCTTTTCTTCGGACGAATTCCACATATTGGAGGGTGCCATATTCCTACGTTCGAGGTCTGTTTCCATTGTACTCGGAATACCCGCTGTTGTACCTCCAATGTTCTCAAGATCGATGATCTCAGCTTCCGATATCATGGTTTCACTTTTCGACTGTTCAATGCTCACACAATCGAGCTTGCTTTCTAGCTCCGTAACCATGTCCATCTCCAAAACTTCGATATCCTCACTATCGATCGATTCGTCATTTAATGCCAAAACAATCGCCATTAAACTTTTCGTGTTCTCGCGATTGATATCACCTGCTTCAATGAACTTAGTACTACTATCTGTTTCATGACTGTCATCTCTATATAATTGGCTTTCTTGCACTGTGGAATTAGCCATTTCCAGACATACGTCTTTGCCACCTTTTGTCTCATTGTAATTGGTTGTCCAAACACTAGCCTTCGAATCTACAATATTCTCACGACTGAAATTGTCTGCTTCCAAAATCATAACCAATCCTTTTGAGCCGTTGATTTCACCTGTATTAAGATTACTATTTTGGTCTACGGATCCGTTAATCTTGGAGCCTGTCATTTTCTCACTTTTGATCTCTTCATGATTTGCTGCAGACTCACCGGCAATTGAATCGTGTGTTTTTTGGCGATTGATGTCACTCACTTCCAGAGCCATAGTATCCTTCTCTGAATCCCAAATATTGTCTGAATAGAGCTTACTTTGTTTTGTCTTTTGAAACGATAGTCTCCGAGCATTCCACGTCTCACTTTCGATCTCACTGTTCATCGCTGCCGAAATATTCTCTGGTGATTCTTCCATATTCTTCCGATCAAAGCTCGCTGTATCCAAAATAGCAAAAGATTTTTCTGATTCGTTGATTTCGGCTGTATTGTAACTGTTTTCTTCACCTGCTGAAGCACTGATTCCCGAGTCTTCAATTTTCTCATTTTGGATCTCGTCAAAATTTGCTTCAGGAATAGTTACTATTGGATCGTCAATTCTTCCCAGATCCATGCTCCTTGCTTCGATTGTATCAGAAGTGCTTGTCGAGTCGTCGATCTTGTGAACGTTGATGGTGCTTTCCTTTTCCTCGGAAATGCTTATCTTCAAAGCATTATCTTTCAAGCTATCCGCCTTGTCGTCATTGCTATTTAAAACATTCGCGATCAGAGCTTCCATAATTTCTTGATTGATGTCGCGTGCTTCCAGAGTCGGTGCTGCACTCTTCGAGTTGTGAATTTTTCCTTTATCAGAGTTGCTTTCTTCTCCTGTTGAAGCGCTAATTTCAAAGTCTTCATTTTTCTCTTTTCTGATTTCGTTGTCGTTGACGGCGGACACCGATGGTATTGAACCTTGAGCACTTTCAAGACTGATATCACTTGTGTTGAGGATTAATGCTTCATTTACTGAGTCATTCATTTCCACTCTATCGAGATTGCTTTTTTCACCTGTTGAAGCACCAACCTCTGAGTCTTCAATTCTTTTACTTTTAGTCTCGTCGTAATTTGTTGCCGAATTACTTGTTATTGAGTCTTCGATTTTCTTGAGATCGATGTTACTTGCTTCCATAATATTAGAAGTGCTTTTCGAATTCTCGGCGCTGCAAAAATCGATGTTGCTTTCGTTGTGCTCGGAAGTGCTTATCTTTGAAGCATCGTCTTTCAGGCTGAGCGTCTTGATATCATTGGTTGTTAAAACACTATCCATTGGAGCTTCCATGGTTTCTCTATCGATGTTATCTGCTTCTAGGATCGGCGCTACCTTCTCTGAATCATTGATTTCTGCTCTATCGATATTACTTTCTTCATCTGCTGAAGCACTGATTTCCGTCGCTTCCATTTTCCCACTATTAATATCTTCGTAATTTACTATGAAAATAGTCGGTATTAAATCTTGAATATCCTCCAGATCAATGTCATCTTCGTTGAGAATCAAAGCTTGCTTTTCGGACTCGTTGGCAGCAGCTGTATTGAAGCTGTTTTCTTGATCTGTTGAAAAGTTAATCTCGAAGCCTTCCATTTTCTCACTTCTGCTGTCGTCATTATTTGTTGCCGACACAGTCGGTATTGAGTCTTCGATTTTTCTGAGATCGATGTTACTTGCTTCCATAATATTAGAAGTGCTTTTCGAATTCTCGGTGTTGCAAAAATCGATGTTACTTTCGTTGTACTCGGAAGTGCCTATCTTTGAAGCATCGTCTTTCAGGCTGACCGTCTTGATATCATTGGTTGTTAAGACACTATCCATTGGAGCTTGCATGGTTTCTTTATCGATGCTACCTGATTCCAGAAACGCAGCTGGCTTCTCTAACTTGTTGAATTCGCTGCTGTTTGAAGTGCTTTCTTTATCTGTTAAAGCGTTAATTGGTGAGACTTCCATTTGCTCACTTGTGTTCGCGGCGTAGTTCGCTGGGGAAACATTCGATATTGAATCTCCGATTATGTTCGGATTGATGTCGGCTGTTTTCAGAACCGTAGCAGGTTTTTCTTGGTCGAGGATGTCGTCTATGTTCTGTTTGTTTTCATGGTTTGATGAAGTGCTCATCTCTAAGCCTTCAGTTTTTTCACTACTGATATCGTCGTTCTTTCCTTCCGTAACATTAGGTATTGAATCTTCGAATTTCTCAATATTCATGTGATGTGCTCTCTGAATTGTGGTGGTGTTTTTCGTATCTTCAATGTTTTGAGCATTAACCTTCCTTTCTTTCTCCGATGAAATGCTTTCTTTCTTGTCGTTATCCACTCCCCGAACAATCACTGCCACTGTGTGAATACTCTCACGAATGAAGTCAGTTGATTCCAAAATCGAAGAAGAATTTTCGGAATCTTGAGTGTGAGCTGTATCGAACTTGCTTTCGTGGTCTTTTGAAACGGTAATCTCCAAGTCTTGATTTTTCTCACTTTTGATCCCATTGTCATATGTTACTGAAACAACTGATATAGACTGCTCGATTCTGTCGCTGATTATGCAAAGGTTTTCGCTTTTAGTGCGTGATGGTGCTATATCGTCAATACCATTGCTGTCAACCATTAGTGCTTCCTTGGTAAAAATGCTCGTCTCCGGGTCTACGACACTCTCATTTTTCATTTCGTACTCCTCCGTTGCAGAACTAATAGCCGTTGTATGTTTTATGTTCTCGTTCTTGATCTCCGACGGTTTCTGTATAGTATTGGTTGTCGTAGAATCTTCGATGTTGTGTGTATCTATGCTGCGTCTTTCTATTGGGATATCGCTCATATTTGAGCCAAGTAGTTTTTCCACTTCGATCTGATTATCGGTAGTTGCAGAAATACACGATTGTAAATTTGTCATACCGTCGTTATTGAAATGTTTTACTTTGGATGAGCTTTCATTTCCTTTGAAACCTCTCGTGTCATTAATATCAACGTTAGAGATAAATCTATATTCGGTCTGCTTTTGTGAATCGGTTGAAACATCATACAGTTTCGGTTGGTGATATTTTTTGTGGTTGAAGCAGTCTCGACATTGATCAGTTCGCCAGTAATCAGGAACGAATGTGGAACAGACAGATTTGGATGCTGGTGAAAAATAAAAAATTCAGCTTGATGCTTTTTAGGACCATTGTTTAGTCAAAATTAATGTCAGATTCAATGAGATAGTGAAAACGTACTTTTTGCTTGTTCTAATGGATTCGTGCCGTTGTCGCCTAAGAGATGAGCGTTCGATTCCGTGTTCGAAGAATCTTGAGGGATACAAATAAAGTTGCATTTAATTTCTCTCGGAAATCCTTTGAAACATTACCTGGTTGCACATCGTGGTCCTCCTTTTTTCTGAAGCAGTTGCGACATAAATGAGGTCGCCACGGATTAGGAGAGAATTTTGAACAAGTTAACATTGCTTACGATTTATAAAAAATAAAACTAAATAACAAAAGTTTAGTTGAGTTAAAGTGTTGTCCTGATTTTTTGGTTTTGCATTCTTTAATTTTGGAGCTTTAAAATGAGCTCGTAAATAGATTAGGAAGGATGAATATGAGAAAATATTCTAGGCAAGATTAGAGTTTGTGGTGTACAGATTCGGGAATATGGCATATCATTAATCTGACAACGATGAAGTCATGAGAAAGGTAGCTCGACTTCTGCAGAGAAAACAAACTTGAATAATACACATCAACAGAGACTGCAATAGGAAGAGCAACCGACGAGAGAAGCGAATATCAGGCTCATAGACGTATAGCTAAGGCGAGGATGGGAAGAATGACTGACAAAGATAAGTGCGAAGAAGAAACTGAAAAAAGAAACGGATGTGGATGGTGAGAAGGCAATAATCATTGAGACCGAAGGAAAAGAGAGTTATCAACTTCAAGCCAAAGGAAACACACTGAAAACTGATGGTATGCACACATTTCTGCATGACACACTGACGTTAACAAGGTTACTGATGAAGGCTAGCAGACGCGCATCTAGTCAGGATTAACAGATAAGATAGTCAATGTGCCGGTAGGATCAATCGCACAATATGTTTGATAAGAAAAAGATAGAAAGATATTAGACAAGTGCTTTCTACTGAGTGGATGAAGATGTACAAGAGTTCCATGGGCGAGTGCTACTTATTGGAAATAACTCTGTAGTTTCTCCTTACTAGGAAATGCAAATTATCGACATGTTACCATATAACTGATAACTGATCGATTAGTAATTACCTGGCAATGTAATTGGCAAGTAGCGGTAATGTGTCTCCTGTATTCTTCACATGGAAAAAGTACATAAAAAAATGAAGTAGAAGATGGCAAGAGTTCGAAACGACGGCCTAGGTCATCCTTACCCGGTCGGTTCAAATGAGTTTCGACCATTTTGTTGCAGTCAGAACCTGAAACAGGTTTTTGCAGAAAGGTTGAGCGTCTGTCGACTAGATGCCGGTGGATACTGTAGGGAAGTTGCCAACGACTTTTCAATGAAAACCGTGCGAAAATCAGTAGAATCTGTCGAGGCTCAATTGAACTTGCGGGAATCATTACCGAAGCAAAACTGAACTCACCGGTTACGACAGCTGAAATACTGTATCTTGGGAAACTTTAAGAAAAACAACCGAGAAATGTTTAAATATATATATGACAATAAATGAAATCTAGCTGAAAAAGCTTGTTAGCGCAGCCCCTTTGGGGCTGAAATGTGGAACTCACATATGTTCTTCAGCTTCGTTATATTAATACGAAATACAGAAGGTGCAAAATAAGGAATTTTTTATTTTTCGTTTTCTGACAGGCCCCTATTTTTTGTTTTCATTGTTACTATTCGCTCATTATTTTTTTTATTTTTTTCTAATTCGTTTTTCTTAATTTATCATTCTTATTATTATAATCATTGAACTCATTGACAAATAAGTGTGTTTTACATATCTATGATATCTACAGCAGCTCTTACAGACTATGATATACATTAATGAAGTCACAAATAATGATATTGATTATTTTTTAAAATAATATCTTGATCAACTTTCCAAAAAAAAAACTAAAAAATCTAACATTCTTTATATTGATTGCTAAGTGTCTGTAATGGGGGC